GTATAACAAATAGGCAGGAAGAAATGGAGATGGATTGGTTGGCCATACTCTGAGGAAACCATCAAGTGAGTGACATCACTAGACAAGCCATTGCTCGAGTGGAACCTGGCCGAAAGGGAAGCGGCGAGTTGGTCGTCAGTGCAAGGGTGACTTGGAGGAGGTCATGTGAAGAGGAGATGAAAACGTGTGGTCAGACTTAGAGCCAGTTGCAAACTCAAGCAGAGAACCGAACGCAATGGAGACGCACGGCTGAAGCCCTATGTTCCTCTAGGAATTAAAGGAAACAATGATAATTATTTCAGGTAGTGGTGTGCGGCTGATGAGAACCTGTGAAGTAGAATGACGATATCATTTTATACTGCAATCATGGTCTTCCTTTCTCTATCCAAAAAACGAGACATTTTCGCAGGAAACACTACTTCTGTCGTGTGTAACCAGCCACGAATTTGATTACCACCCATCCACTGATACTTCTAGTGCTCATAAAGATTGTTCACCATGGCTTTAATAAATATATCCACAATGTCAACGAATAAAATCAACTAGGCTACCTTCATTCTCCGTAAAAACTATAAGATCGACATCACATTGAAGCTTTCAGCATTTGAATGCCACTTCAAAAATAAAAATAAATAATTCTCCGAGTGACCAGTCCTGAATATGACAAAACCTACATTCAGGATTTCGCTACCAGCCATCACCAACCAACGAATATCAGTCACTTGAAACAGTAATTCAAATCTGCAATTTACATATTTCGAGGTGATTATTTCACCACAAAGTCCTCCTCTGGAAACAACAACAACAGACAGTGACAAATCGAATGGTTTGAGTCGGTTTGGCTCTCTAAAGTGATGATGTCGGTCTGGAACTACTGGTTGCTATGAGTTGTACACAACTACTCATTTCAATTAATCAGTAGTATGCAGTTTTATGACGGCACATGTCTAGTGATGCACAACGGAAAACTCAGCGACGCGTTTGGAGTAAACACAGGAGTCAGACAAGAGTGCTTATTATAACCAATGATATTCCTAATTGTGGTGGACTGGATTATGCGTCAGACAGTGGGAAATGAGAAGACGGGGATATCCTGGACCGACGTGAAGAACCTAGAAGACCTGGATTTCGCGCGTGGATGATTTATGTTTGATGTCACACAAAATCGAAGACTTACAAGCGAAAACCGACAAACTGGTCGAAGCAACAGCAAAGACAGGACTCCAGGTGAACATAGACAACACGGGGGTTATGAAAATAACCAACCAACAACAACAACAGCAGCAACATCCAGCGCAAATCACCATCAACGGGAGGGATTTGAAAGAGGTTACTTCATCCACTTATCTAGGGAGCATTGTCTCAACTACAGGAGAAACGGACGGACGAGGATGTCAAATCGAGAATCGATCATGAAGGCGAGAAACACATTCATCAACCTGAAACCAATCTGGAAATCTTCGTCACTCAGCAACACTCAACAACAAAATTCGGATTTTCAATACAAACGTCAAGTCAGTCAGTTGTTCTATACATAAGGATCAGAAACTTGGCGAGTCACCAAGAATATTTCCAACAGCCTGTTGCAGACCTTTATCAACAGCTGTCTTTGTTCTTTACTGAAGATGAGATGGCCGGAAAGAACAAGAACCAACAAGAAACTATGGGAACAAACAAAACAAGAACCAATCGCCAAACAAATATGCAGGAGAAAGTGGAGATGGATTGGACACTCACTGAGGAGGCCGTTGGGTGATATCGCGCGTCAGGCCATTGCTGGAGTGAAACCCGAAAGGGAAGTGGCGAGTGGGACGTTCAAGTGTGACATGGAGATCATGTGAAGAGGAGTTGAAACAGTTTGGAATAACATGGATGCAGGTGAAAGGTACAGCAGAAGACAGAAGCAAGTGGAGACGTGCAGTTGAAGCCCTATGTTCCACTAGGAACCCAAGGGAACAATAATAATGTAGTTTTATGCATTCACACCAGCAGTTGGTCGAGAAATCATCCGATTTGTACTTTCTAAATCAATATGACTACTCTAAATGAGATATCTACTTGTAGTATATTGTTGAGAAGGAAAAATCAATAATAACCACTACTACTCATTAACTGATCAAACTGTCAACATGAGACAAGAATGAATAACGATTTCACTTCTGTCAGTATAATCTACTGAAACTACCAATCTGACGTGATCAATCGATAAAGTACAATACTATTCAAGAAGCAGAACTGTCACATGGTTACTTGTTGTGTGTTGACCTAGATAGGTGAATTATTTGACCTGAATACTGTTTTCAAACAGGCGTTTTTCTTAAACACGTAAACAGTTCTGAAAAATTCCGTCTTTATCTCTCTGATATACATAGCATTATATGAAATCAGAACACTAGTAATTGTTAAACTAACAATACAAAAGGAATATAAATTCAACTGATTCCGCCATTTGTGTATAGCCCACATAAACAACCTAATATCCTCTCGAAATGCTCTCATGTCGCCACTCGTTCACAGTTTCTGTCAACCTGGGGAAATTCTTCTCCAAAGTGAAAAGCAAAATGTGATTATGTCGCCTTTACAACAGGACTGGTGGATATGTTGGTCTACGCCTAGGCGAAGTAGAAAACCCTGATTCCAAATGTATGGTGTACATGGGCTCCAGAATCCGATTAGACTGAAGAGTACACGGGCTCGTTTTGATTCAGGCTTCAAGTCAAATATACGGGAGAGGGGTGAGGGGCTTTAAGACGATCACCTGATTCGGTCTAGGCGTCCAGGCAGTACTGCAGCCCTCTCATATACTGTGACATTCTGTGTCGAGAATCCCTTGGCGATTATAGTGTGAAGCGTTTGTATTTTTAACAATAATTATAATCTCTGTGCATTTTGATGTCGTTGTGTTCTCTAAGCTGGATAGTTAATTTGTGAAGCTTTCACTGGCCCCTACTGGGCAACATCTTCAGCGCATACTTCCATTTGATGAGGTGAGCTTCTAGATTTTCCCACGAGTTCACTTTTAGTCATCTCTCCTGCTGGTGGTGGCCTTGAACAACCTTGTGGTCTGCTGTTTTTGTGTTTTCACACCCTCTAGGCTACTTGTATTGATATTCGGGCCGATTGTTTCCTTGACCTAAGTTTTACCCTTTGTGTGTGAGATTTCCTTCTAATCGGTTGGTAAATTTTGTCTATGTCGATGTGTCTATTGATTGACGATTCACTGGAATACCAGGCAGGCTTTTAAGTGCAGTTTTACAACTTCGTCGATTTACTTCATTTCCCTATCCAACCCTTAATATTTTTCACCACACAATGTCATTTGCTATGGGAGACTGAGTGAGTATAAACACTTGTGGCAAAAGACAGCTGGCCACTTCATATCATAAAGGAGAACAGAGTCCATTGCTGAACACAGTAATGGCGCGTCCTACGATCGATAGCTAGATATCATGTCTATACCAGAGATGATCTTCACTGGTAAATGCCATAAGAGCCTTTTGTATATGCACTCAGACTTCATCAGAGATCAGTCCATTCAGTGGTCAACACAGTCTACCACTATATATGGTCTCCATCTTCAGTCCTTCCTCCACCCCGTCCGCCTGTGGTTGAAACGATGCCTCCTGGACAAGTGAGAGAAGTAACCTCTTTCAAATTTATCCCGTTGAGTGATTGGTGCTGGTTGTTGTTGTTTTTGGTTGGCTATCTTTATCATCTTCATCTTCTCGATGTTAACCTCGCCTAGTTTTCTAGCCGATCTTAAGCTCGGGAAAAGAAGGAGATATGATACTTTAATCGAAAATGGTTATCCTGACAAATTTATCAAGAAACATATGACAAAGAAAGTGGAAAAGGACTACTCACTGTCTGTAAACAAGAAGCCTTTATATATACGACTACAATTCATGGGCGATATACCAAGCGAGGTAATTACGAAGAAATTGAGAAAATCAGTTCAAAGAACTTTTAATGCTGGCGAACTACACGTCTTATTCTCTGCACGACCGATCGTGCTACCTCGACTGAAAGATGAAGTACCTAGATTAGCCACTTCAAATTGTATTTATCAATTCAAATGCGCTTGTGGAGCGAGTTATGTTGGCCGTTGCTCTAGGAACAGCTCGATATTAGACCATCTGGTGCAAACCGGTCACAAAGCCAGCGTAGAAGAATCCTTCTCTATAATATACCGGGTGCCTAACAAATTACCAAAATCGTCGAAGCACCGCATGCTCCAAACAGCAGAGGCTATTGCAATTCACCTCAAACAACCAGTGCTCTGTGTTCAAAAGAAACAAGTCCAGCCACTACTACTGCCCTGGCCCTCAGTAGAAACTATAAATTCATGAATTTGTACTATTACCTTTCCTAATTCTTCTGACATTCAGTTTATTTTATGTTGGTGCTGTTCAGCTGTAATCTATCAATATTATTGATTTGATGTTATTTAAACATTAATGTCGTTCATAAGACTAATTCATTCATTCATTATAATGTATATATAATTGTAGAACCTGATGATGAATTTATCGAAAGGAGTTCTCTTTGTTCCGTGTCCATTCTTTTGAAAGGAAGGAGAGTTGGGCGTGGAGCCCGTGATTCTACCGCGGAAAATCAATCGAACTGCTACGGATATTTTGTGATTATTTACAATTTTAGATGTGTGATTACTAGTCTATATATATCTACGGGGAACTAAAACACCCTAATTCTAAACCTATGTTGGTGTATCTCGGTACTAGAATCCGAAAGGACTGGACGGCGCATGAACCTATTTTTAGTCACCAGAATCCATGAAAGCATAGCTCCTGACGCTACTCTACTGCTTTGTCGACCAGACTTTAAATCAAAGACTCACAGCGGTCGGGGGACTGGGAGCTGTGGCAATCCGCAACACAAACTATGAGATTTTTTGTGGTGCATCTATTGGTGTTCAAGTGATGTTCCAATTACAAAATACAATAGAATTATACCATGAGAAGCACAAAACACACAATGACTTCTTTTAATAATACTATTTACTAGTATAAATTGTAATGGTCAGATCAGCACAATAAAAAAGATAGACAGAACTGACTGACTGACTGACTAATTTTATTTTACACCTGCACTCATCAACATCGACAGCATCATTGCTACAGGTCTCATGAGGTGAATGTAATTTGTACAGACGAATTATAAAAAGTCTATTCACTTAATCATGCTTCTTTTCAAGTTCAGCTAATAATTTCTTTCTACGTTTAAGTGATTCCTGTAGAATAGAGAGAGAGAGAGATAAAAAAAAAGACAACATTAATGAGGAATCATTTCGATAAAAAAACAAAACACAAAGAACAATTGATGGATGGTGACTAGCAGTGGAATTCACGGCACACCTTTCGTCTCATTTTGGACCCATCAGCTGGTTACGCCTGCCAAATGTATAGTAAGTGATAGTGTTTCCCTCTCTGAGGCGCAAACTCAGCACTCAAAACCGCAGTGTTATCTACTGGATCACTTGGGCCACAAAAGCCATCTCTTTCTGATGCATTTAATTCCCGATTGATTGATTTGACCGAAGTGCTCGACTTCAGGGTGACAGGATGTCTGCTTCTTGTGCAGATGCTTTGACAATGTCCGATTATTTAAACTTGACACTATGCGTAATGGGTGAGAACCTCGGTGGAAAAACCATCACTCACTAGGAGGAGGGGGGTGGCAGATATATTCAGATGACGAATCTCAATCAAATAGGACGAAATTAGCATCCTGGTGGTAGATTTCACACTGCTAGTCACAAACATCCACAAATTTACTTCAAGTAAAATAATCAGACACCGTCAAAGCATCTGCACAAGAAGCTGCCGACATGTCAACTTGAGGCCAAGCATTTCGGTCTAATCAATAAAGCGGGAAAGTTTAAATGGAATTATATAGACAACTATGTTGATGTAAATGTAGAAATTGGACCAACAATGGTACAATGTAATTCCATATTAGATAAGTTTATCTTAGGCCCTGGATGAAAAACTTCGACCGGAACAGGCTGGATTCAGGAGAAACAAGTCATGTATTGCTCAGATCGCCACATTACGGATCATCATTGAACAAAGCTTGGAATGGCAGTCAACTCTTCATCTCAACTTCATCGACTTTGAAAAGGCCTTTGACAGTGTCGATCGAGAAGTGCTTAGGCAACTACTTCGGTACTACGGGGTGCCACCGACAATTATACATCTCATCCAACAGCTGAACGACAATGCTGCATGCCAAGTAATCCACAACGGGAAACTTACGGAATCCTTCGAAGTGAGGACAGGAGTAAGACAAGCTGGCTGCCTACTATCGCCAATGATTTTCCTGATTGCAGTAGATTGGATAATGCGACAAACAGCGGCCGGCAATGAGGAAAAATGCATAAAATAGACTCACACGAAAAACTTGGAGGATCTGGACTTCGCCGATGATATATGTCTGATTTCCCACAAACCCGAAAATATGCAAGCGAAAAGCAACAAGTTGGCAGAAGAAGCATCAAAGATAGGACTTCAAGTGAACATAGAGAAAACAGAGGTGTTGAGGATTCCTGGGCAACACCACCAACAGCAACAACAACAACAACTGACAACAATCAGCGTAAATGGGAGGAACCTGAAAGAAACAACCTCTTTTACTTACCTGGGAAGCATCGTTTCAACTACACGCGGATGGAACTGACGAGGATATCAAAGCAAGAATCGGAAAAGCAAGACAAACTTTCACTACTCTCAAGTCTGTGTGGAGGTCAACAGCACTATTCAGCATCAAAAATAAGATCCGTATTTTCAACTCCAATGTGAAGTCAGTGCTATTCACTGTACAGATCAGAGACTTGGCCAGCGCGTCATAAAGAGCATCTCAAACAAACTACAGACCTTCATTAACAGCTGTCTTCGCTCAACACTCCAGATCAGATGGCCAGGAAAAATCAGCAACAGGGAGGGATCTCTGAGAGCGAACCAACCAGGAACCGATTGTGCAACAAATAAGCAAGAAGAAATAGGGGTGGATTGGCCATATTCTGAGGAAACCATCAAGTGACATCACTAGACAAGCCATTGCTCGAGTGGAACCTGGCCGAAAGGGAAGCGGCGAGTTGGTCGTCAGTGCAAGGGTGACTTGGAGGAGGTCATGTGAAGACTGTAGCAGAGAACCGAACGTAATGGGGACGCACGGCTGAAGCCCTATGTTCCTCTAGGAATTAAAGGAAACAATAATATATAATAATAATAGTAAGTTTATCTTAAATATTTAAAACAATTAGTCTCTTTTATAAATTTGGGTAGCGTTATTAAAAGACGGAGATTATTTGAAAAACGGTATGCGATGTATTTGCGCTATACATTTCGAACAATCTGATCCCTCACACATTTACTTGTCAAGTCGATATATATATGAAAATGTCTAATTGAACAATGTGACAAAAAAGGATTTAAGAATGATTAACATAACGTTTGGTAATCAAACCAAATAAGGATTACCAGGGTAGGTTAAGAGTGATAATAAATTGTTTTTAAATACACAGGGTGGGCTAAAGTTTATGGATAGCTATAGCCTCGGCGTATTTCAATAAGCGCCCTTCACAGTTTCTGTCCACTACAGTATAAGAGAGGCTTGGTGAAATGTCTATTTTAGAGGATTCAACGTATTTGCACGACTGATGTTATAGACAAAGAAAACGAAATATTTATGGATACTCTTGTTGAAAACGGATATCCTTTAAAATTTTTAAACAGGTGTAAAAGTCAATTAGTCTTCAAACCTACAATCTATACCACCCCTAAGAAAAAATGTTTTCATTAAATTACCATATAACGGGGAAATAAACAGTAGAACCTATTTGGCAGCCTGGCCAAACATTAGCTCCACTGCAAACCTCAAAAGTGCACAAGTGATTACGTCACATCCCACACTATTTACCAATACATAGGGAGGAGTAATCGCTCTTTGCATGTGAGGGTGAGAGAGCATATCCCGAAATGGCTAGAAAAACAAATGAACTGTGAAAAACCAATAGATGCAGGTGTCAGACTACCAACTTCGACTATAGCTAAACACCCAATCGCGATGAAGCATAAAATTGATGTCAACTCAGCCTTTAAGGTCATCCATAAAAACGGTCAAGGGCGCATATTGAAATACGCCGAGGCTATTCATAAACTTAAGCCCCTTCCCTGTATATTCAAAAACAGTTTGTTATTACTCTTAACCTACCTTGGTAATCCTTATTTGATTGGATTACCAAATGTTTGTGTTAATTATTCTTAATTCTTATTTTGTCACTTTGTTTATCTTAAATATTTCACACAATGATGATGCAGTATTAACAAGTGGATGACAAGATTTCGAGCATAAATTACTGCTGCTCATAATCATATCACTTTTAGTGACACGGCTTCACAATTTACCTACACCTATAATGAATGACCTTGCTAAGGTAAATAACCTAGAAAAAACAACGATCAGACATCACAATGCATTCACTTGCATGTAATCACACAATAGGGTGAGTGGGACAGGGTGAGAGTATTAAGAGGTGATATAGTTAGTTGGGTAGAGAGAGAGGTTAATAACTGAATCTTTGTTAATCGACTCAGCACTGCACATTTGCAAACGAAATGACGCAACGCCTTTACGGGAGGTGTGGAAAATGGTAACAAACAACAAAAGGAAGAGGGAGAGAGATAAAGAATATACAAGACACACTGTGAAACCGTGTGACTAAAATAAACTTATCGAATATGGAACGACTATGGTGGTTCCTGCAGCGATTTCACTAATTATAGGTTTCCTCATGAGCTAACATCAGTTGGAGGACCTCCAGAAAACCAGAGATTACTGGACAGCCAATTATTTCACCCCAGTTCGGAACTCCTCAGGAGTACGCACCCATCAAGGTCTGCACCCGGCAAAAGTTAGATTTCATATGCCACCATTGGATTGGGTCCCAGTAGGTGATGAATGATCTACGAGCTCGCTTTGTACATCGGAATCCCGATGGGTGCGTGCAGTGAAGAGTCCCAAACTAGGACGAAACAGCTGGCTGTCCAGTACTCTCTGCTGGTTTTCCAATGGTTCTCTAACCGATGTCAGCTCATGATGAAATCGTGTAACTGATCAAGTCCCTGCAAACTAATACTTAAATATTAGCCTATTGTATCTCTGCTTAGAATTATCAAAAGTGTATTGACTTCGTCGCCTAATCACAAAAGAGATACTCCATTTCGTTTGAGTCGACTTCTTTTTTCCCGTTGATTCGCTAAGTCGAAATGCTCAGTTTCTGGTGGCATATCGACTCCAAGTATGGATGATTCAACGGCGGACTGCCAGCAGAATCCAGGATGTGCGTTTCGTCCGATTTTGGACCCATCAACTGGATACACCTGGAATCTGAAAACGCTTCGTCGAATGAAACGAAAGGTTGATGGTTCGAGTTTCAGTGGGGACACCATTTAGTCCCTGGTAATTACATGTACATACAGCTGATGAGTCCCAAATAGGAAGAAATGCGCATCCAAGATTCCACTGCTAGCCACCACTACTCAAAAAACAACTGGCATTGTGTTTCCTGTTCATACATACAAACAAGAAAATTGTAAAAAAAAAAATAATTAAACCCACTTCAAGTCGTTTAATTTCTGCCTCTTCACGTTCATGTTCCTCTTCTAAATGCTTCTTTAAAGCACGAAGTTGTTGTTGTTGCTATGTCGAAAAGAGGAATAAATCAATAAAGAAAAAAACGCATTTGGTTAAATGCCCAGATTTCAATGAAGAAAATCACCTTGACAACGGCTTCATCGCCATTATTATTCTTATTAATATTATTGATTATTATTATTATTCCCTTAGATTACGAGTGGAACATACGACTTCTTCAGTAGCACATCTCCATTTCATTTTTTATTTTTGATTACAGCTTGGTTCCACACCGTATTTTTTGGTGCAGGTATGGAATTTTCAGCATATGATATCGGTAGCCCAAATTTTGCAGGTCAACCATAGATATCAGGTGTGCGTCGGCTGGGGATAGAACCCCGAACCATGTGCATGATCGGCGAGAGTCATAACCGCTGGGCCACCGACACACAAGCGGAGTGTGTGTTCTCTGAAGTCCTCTTCAACTCGCTCCACGACTACCGTCTCCTTCACGTCAATGTCTGATCCGATTCATGTGTAACTTGTCACTTTCCATTTATATTCCACTCGATTGATGGCCTGTGTCACGTGATTCCACTCGATGGCTCATCAGAGTGTATTCCATCGTGCGTCGGCGGCACAGTGGTTAGGACTCTCGCCGACCATGCACGTGGTCCGGGGTTCGATCCCCTGCCGGCGCACACCCGATGTCTATGGTCGGCCTGAAATTTGGGCTACCGATATCCATGCTGAAAATTCCATACTTGTACTGAAAATACGGTGTGGAATCAAGCTGTAATCAAAATAAATAAAATAAAATAAATAAATATTCATTTTCTTCGTGATATTTCTTGCACGACAGGTACTTGTTTGGTACATGTTGGTTATTCTTTCTGAATGGCTATCTGATCTTCAATATCTGCACAGTTGGAAATGACTTTCATCCCGACGCACCAAGTCTCTGAAGCATGCACAAATACTGCTGTGTAACATTTTATGTTGAAATCTGGATCATGTTCCCTGTGTACTTCAGTACACAGTAGTTGTCTAAACTAACTTAAGATTGAAGAAGGTTTCTAGACCGTAAGTGTTCCGAACTTCCTGGAGTAATTTGAGCGCCAAGTCAGATTGATTCATCATAAATTATTTAAATTAATCCCAGCGTGTTTAAGAAAACAAAAATCAAAACAAGATCTGTTTTCTGGACGTTTCGCTGTGTAAGCCACAGCCTCCTCAGCAGCGGATTTATTCGGATTTTTTTTAATCATCAAAATATATAGCCAAGATATCTTTTTACATAAATTGAAGTCAGTTTATTTGAAGGTCATTTGTCCATGGACATTTTTACCAATGGAAGATATGTAAGCAGTCATCACATATATTTGTAATGACTAATGTCAAATTGTTGTTGTGTTCACTCTTCTATAGTTGATTTGTACAGATTAGTTTTGTATGAGTGTGTGTGTATGTATGTTATTTATCATGTGGAAAAAACGTGAATTCATGTGTGATAAACATTATAATACATTTTTTAAAAGGTCATGGAAGTTCATAGAGGTTTTTGTAGTTTTTTCATCTGTCTGGCTTCATTAGACTTTCTTTATATAATATTAAAGTCTATGTCAAGCCCTCTAATTCTCTGGAGAAAGCGTTGGTGCATGTCAAGGATATGGTTCCCAAAATGTCACAAAGTAATTGTGTCTATAGGATAAAGTGTTCAGAATTGGGAAGCTCGCTATCTATACAGGGGAGAGCAGTAGACAGGTGAAGGTCAGAGTGAATGAACATAGACTATGCAAGAAACGTCCACCTGGAAATGAAGTAGAATTAAAAAGTCTAGAAAAAAGATCAGCTATTGCAATGCGCACTGCTATAGACAGCGGACATAAGACTGATTCCGACAATATCGAAATTCTTAGGAGAGGATTTCATTCAACACATAAAGAAATATTGACATATGAAGCCTTGCACATTTCAACCACATCGAATGCAGTAAATAGGAAGGAGAAAAAGGATAGACTTATCACCTATATGGCAAACTCTAATGAAGCAAGACAGATGAGAAAACAACACAAACCTCTATGAACTTCCATGACCTTTTAAAAAAAGGGTGTTATTATGTTTATCACATGTGTCTTTTCCATGTGACAAATAACATACACTTACACACACTCATGCAGAAAAAATATACACAATGACAATATGACATTAGTCATTACAAATATATGTGATGACTGCTTACATATTTCTATTGGTACAAATGCCAATGGACAAGTGACCTTCATATGAACTGACTTCAATTTATGTCGTTGTGTGAATACTGGTTTAGTTGAGAAACTGAGTACCAGTTTAGCTGCACGAAATGTTATTATATATTATTATTATATCATAACTGCTCTGTTAAGTTGACATTTTAGGACGTCCGCTGCAATTTACCCTTTGTAAGATACAAAGGTTCCTTATCTACGGTATCCATCGTTACCTTATCTCTAGGTATTGACATATACTTTTTTAGGAAGTTCTCTGGATATCCATTTTATAGCAGTGGAATTTTCAGTTTACACATTTCTTCCTTAATGCATTCCTCTGAATATATGCGTCCTATTCTATAACTGAGACGCTTAACTATGTTCCTTTTGTATTGAATCGGTGTGAAGCTATGAAAATAGGTATACTGATGCGTCAAGTCTTCTTTCTAAATAGTTTCCTTTGTAGATATCCATCTGTCTTCATGGTGAGGAGGACGTCTAGGAAACGTATACTGTTATTATCTTCTTCCTCACATGTAAACTGTTAATAGCTGGGTGAACATTATTAACAGCATTCAGAAGGTCTTGTTGTTTATTAAGATTTCTATCACAAACGATGAAGGTATCATCCACACATCGAAAATAATAGTCAAGCCCTATAATCGTGTCTTTGAGCGGACCATTTTCAAGCTTTGCCAGGGAAATATCCGCTAGCATAGGACCCAGAGGTGAGCCCAATGCAACGCCATCAACGTGTCTATAAAAATCATTGTTGGACATAAACTTGACATTCATAGTGCATTTTAATAGTAACTCCTCGACTGTTTCCAGTGGGATTCCTACATCTACCTCTCGTTATGTCAGTTGGTCACATAAGTAGTTGACTGTTTCGAGCAATGGAACGTTCGTTGGTGAATAATGATGCTACATCCAGTGACATTATTTTCTTTCCCTTTACATTCAGGCTTTTGGCAGTTTCTACAAAGCTGAATACGCCTTTTACACTGAATTTCCTTAGTTCACGATGTAAAGGGTCCAATGCATTTTACCAACCACCTTGTTGTAGAATTACAGAGAGAATGACACATATCTAGGACAGGACTAGTGGTACTCGGGGCTTGTGGACTTTCAGTGATCCATAAAGTCTTGGTGTTTCAATTCGCTGAGTGCACACTTAAGAATCAGGTTACACTCTACTAGTAATTTTAATAACTTAGCCATTTGGTGTTCGTTCAGTTGCTTCACTTGTGTCTTTACAACTATTCAGCTTTTGAAATAAGATTGATTTTGTCTATATATATTCACCCTTATTCATGATAACTATAACAATGAGCATGCATGACTATTGTTCCATCCCACCTTATTTATTTAAACGCAGAAGAAAGCACTTGCTACAATATGGAACCCAGAAAGATGCGCCACACAATAATAATAAAACAACATAGATCAAATAGTAAAAATATAAGTAGAAAACGGGTAAAGAAATTCGTCTACAAGGAAAACAGTCATTTGTAGCAAGAAAGAAGGAAATCACAACAGGTTCACCATTGATTAAGATTCTTGGCCATATCTGATAACATTTCGAGCTATCGATTCCAGCTATCTCTCTGACCCCAACCGGGGAGTCGTGACACACCAACCGATGCTAATCTAGCACAAAAATCCTTCATCCTACGACGTCACGTCATGAACTGACCACCTCCCCGCCTTTTCCATCTCCTCCCAGGGCTAGCGAACAGAGACCTGTACGGAAGCCTCTGGGATGACATTCGCAGCACATGTCCAAGCCACCGGAGCTGGTGTTTTCAGATGACGACACTCAATGAATGGTGATATCCACTATGTTTAAACACACGCCACCGAACCTCAGAATTACTCACGCGATGATGCCATCGAACGCAAGCAATCCTGTGGAGACAGCGATGATCGAACACGCAGAGTCGCCTCACATCCTCAGCTCGGAGAGGCCAGGTTTCACAGGCGTAGAACAAGGCAGCCCGCACCGGACATTGTATACCCGACCTTTGACAGCCAGGCTAACGTCGCGACGGCGCCAGAGGTGGATTAAGTTGATGTATGCCACCCTAGCCTTCATTATACGGTTGGAAATCTCATCCGTCATCCCTCTGCCAGCACTCACACAACTACCCAGATACACAAACTTATCAACAACTTCAAGCGGTTCACCCGCAAGAGTGAGTGCAGGTACAGGCTCCTGCCAATCTTGTAACAGTACTTTGCACTTAGATGGTGCAAAGCACATACCATACTTATAGACACTGATCGCCAACTGATTAAGTGCGATTTGGGCAGCCTGCATGCTATCGCACAGTAAGACGATATCGTCTGCATACTCGAGGTCAAAAAGTCTATCTCCAGGTAGCAGATCTACACCACCACGCACATCCTTCAGAGCTGACTCCAGAATGTCATCGATGGCAAGGTTAAAGAGAAATGGAAAGATTGGGCAACCCTGTCTAACACCCCTCTTACTAAAACTTGTTCCACAATACACCTTCTGATATGATTCTAATTTGCCTTTACTGACTGGCTGGCTGGTTGGCTATTGTATGCTTAAATTAATGGAATTTATAATTGTGGAGCCTGAAGAAGAAAAAGACGAATTTATTGAAAGCAACAATTGTTCGCTCTATTTTTTGTTCTAAATAAATTGTGACAATCTTTAGATTATGTTTTAGAATAAAAATAAATAAATAAATAATAGCCATTCATTTGTACTCCTGTACTTTGTGCTGATCTTTATTTAAGTCAGATTTTTGCTCAGTTTGTGAATAACTAATGTTTTCAAGTATTGGTTTTTGTAGGAATTTTGTTTGATTGCATGGAGAATTTCATCATAAGCTGACATCAGTTAGAGAACCATTGGAAAACCAGCCAATGGGAGTACTGGATAGCCATCTGTTTCGTCTTAGTCTGGGACTCTTCATCACTACGAACCAACACCTCGTGGTTCGAACCCAGAACCTTCTGGTTACAAGGCACGCTCGCAGACCATTAAGTTACTGGGACCCGATCCAATGACCAGCCAGTCCATGAATTCCAAATTCCGCCAATTCACACACGACATAGCGCGACCACTTCGCAATGTCTTCCTCGATGAGTTACTGTCCCATGGCTCAATGGTCTACGAGCTCGCCTTGTAACCAGAAGGTCCTGGGTTCAAACCCTGGTGGGCGCGTACTGGTGAAGAGTCCCAAAATGGGATCAAACAGCTGTCCAGGACTCCCAGTGGCTGGTTTTCCAATGGTTCTTTAACTGATGTCACCTCACGATGAAATCCTCCATGCAATAACTAATGTTGACAACAAATGAACCTTTTCTTTAAATAATATCGAGTCATTATAAGATTTAAAGTTCTAGGGACGTATACAGATGAGTAAATTACCAGTAGATTACAGCTAAAAACATCCATTAATGTAGTAGTACTACTAAGGTGACAATCAGATATCAATTTCAGTGGTCATGAATACCACAATAAATGTGTAGTAGTGCTGAACACTAGTGGTTAACGTTCAAATTGAATTCTATTTTGTCTCATTATAAACCCCATATGCTCGTCCACAGTTGACGAGAGTCGAGTGCTAGGTAACGAGGGGGAAATCAATCGACGAGGTTGTGAAGAAGTTATATCGATTGAAAGAGATTGTTAGAACATGTGTTACACATGTATGTCTAGCCATCGATCGCCTTCCACAACGATGGGCAATATTAGCTGACTGATATAAGATGGATCAGGTTGTTGGGAAAGAGCTAGTGGTAATCAAACCAAAACATGGCGGCATCAGTCAGTGAAATCCATAACGGTTAGTTTAAGCCAACCAGCCACATAGGGAAGTGTAGACTGCCAACTGCTTTGGGGTCGCCGGGATGGCACTGAAATAGAAACCAAGTCGGAAATTAAATACCTAGGCATCATTCTATCTCCTGATCTCTCCTGGTCGTCTCATATCTTGGCGATTTCTAAGAAAATATTCCGTCTTACCTACTACATCAAGAAGTTAAGACATTCTGGTATAACCCAACCCTTACTCCTACAATTCGTTAACTCTCTCTCATTCTGCCTATTATTCTCTATTGTCCCCCCTTAGTTTTCCCGGGTTACTGAAGAAAGACTACACCTTATTACGTAGGATGTTAAAGGTTGTCAGCAGGGTAAGCAACGTGCCACTTAACCAGCTTGTTAATATTCTGGTTGACAGACACATGGACTCATGTGAAAAATGGGCCAAATCCATTTTGTCTAACTCACACCACCCTCTTCACTCACAACTCTCCCCTTGCATCTCATCAGGTAAAACCAGAAGCCAATGTAGAAAACTATATGCTCGCACCAGCAAGTACAAAAACTAAACCATACCCTACTTAGCTCGTGTTCTGTGTGATAAAGAAAGCATTAGGCGTGACACCTATAATTCATTAAAGTTAGTAGAACAACTGGATCTCGTCTTTCCAACTCATTTATATCATTTTGTAGGTACAACGTTTTCTTTCTTTTCCTTTTCTCTCTCTCTCTCTCTTATTTTTCCGTTACGTGCTGCTTTGTTTCTTTCTTCCGCTTCCGCTAGTAAATATGCTAGCATCTACTTTTCTAACACCTTCAAACACTGTTCAACTTTGGCTTTGCTACCGACATGCCAATATGTTGTTGTCATAATGAACTGAAATTTCTTTAATCTATGTAGAATTTTATGTACTGTATTTATTTATGCATTATGTATTGTGATAATGTACTAACTAGATCCAATACTGTAGTAAAATGCTGAGAATTTTACACTCTGTATCACAAGTACTGTTTTGGAATAAAGCAAATTATTATCATTATTATTAAGAACCAATGAAGACTGGTGACAATTGGTGCAGCGGCTCAAAATCGTTCTCAATAGATGGCGCAGATACATTTATATCCAATGAAACTCTATTGTTCTTCCATATTACTGCTATTCTTTTTCCCTCACTCGCACTTCTGTTTATTATCACTCTTCTCTCGCTTTGTGTGCTACATGGAGGGAGAGTGACAACGTGAAGTGATGCACTTCTGTGCAAAGTTCTATGCTGAAACCAACCAATCAGTCAGAACACATCATGTGAACATAATAAACCACTGTTTATCAGAGAGAGATAAAATCGTAACTTACTAATCTATAAAAGTACTCCTCTTCATTACGCGCTTCTCGTTTACCGAATGCTCCACCAGCATCACGAATAACACCTCCGCCACCGCCACCCTTAATGCAGCAAAACCAAAAGTAGTAGAAGGAAAATAATTATCTCGCACGAAATCACATTCAAGCTACACATATTATTAACACATACGTCTAGACAGACACCTAGTTTAAAAATAAGGAATAAAGTCAACGATGTGTGTTGATTACCACCACTTCACTTATTTAGGGAGTTGCAGCATTAATATAAGAATAAAACTTGGGCACTGTGGTAGAGTGTAATTCCATTATGGGTAAATTTTATTTTGATAAAGTCTCACAGTGTCATACAGTAATGTTTACTGATGACGTTTCGAGCACAATTTATTGCTCAAAATCATATCAAGGTGATCACACGACTTCCTAAATTCATTTATATAGTTCCATTGATTTTCACTTGATTTGATTGGTAGTATTATTTTCCATATTTCCGGTATGAGTGATGAATCATTTCTGTTGCATGTGTTGGGTGTAGATTCGATGAACAAGGATTCAGTAATCAACCTCTCTTGTGAAACTAGTAATAATAACATAAATAAGAGAGTATATAAGTCATCTACAGTTATACAATATAAAGAGGGGACATCTGAGACCCTACGTAGAATTCTAAATAAAGCAGGAATTAGGGTGGCATTCAAACCTACAAACTCACTCAGGGACAAGCTCTGGAGGTTAAAGGACCCAGTTGATCCAATTAGACAAAATAATATAATTTACAAAATACCCTGCAATGACTGTGACTGAGGTCAACTACATAGGTCAAAATAGTAGGTCAGGGGTAGTCAGATTGTCAGAACATAAGAATTTAGCTAAAGTAAGAATGGTTGACCCAGAGAAGATAAGTAATTTAGAAAAAAGCTCAGCAATTGCAATGCATGCATTAGCACACAACCACAAAATAGGGTGGGAGAGAGTTAAAATTCTAAAAAGTAATCTAGGTAGGTGGAGAGAGAGGTTTATCACTGAATCCTTGTTCATCGAATCTACACCCAACACATGCAATAGGAATGATTCACCACTCATACCCGAAATATGGAAAATAATACTACCAATCAAATCAAGTGAAAATCAATGGAACTATATAAATGAATTTAGGAAGTCGTGTGATCACCTTGATATGATTATGAGCAATAAATTGTGCTCGAAACGTCATCACTAAATATTACTGTATAACACTGTGAGACTTTATCAAAATAAAATTTACCCATAATGGAGTTGCAGCATTAGGCTTAATGTACTGACTGATTGCTGACGAAATCTCAGCACGTGTATAAAAGACTAATGTGGCATTCGTCAATTCACGTCATCATCTCTGGCTATCCATCAAACGACCTGTGCACTGCACATTAGTTTGCTTTGTCATATATTATGAATGTGGTTAATTATAGTCAACCACATACATGTTTGCGTTCTATTTTCTGTGTTAAACGACATAATATGAGGAGTCTGTCTGTCTGTCTGTTTTCGACATAGAACTTTGCACCGATGTGCAGCAGTTCCAGTCGCCACACTCCCTCCATGTAGCACACAGAGCAAGAGAAGAAAGTAGAAGAAATGCATAATAGAGACAGTAAACGGAGGTGTGAGACAAGGGAGTAGTGATAACGAGGAACAATATAGTTTCATTGGAAATTATAAGTCACAAGGAGTGGATGCATCTGCGCCAGCCATTGAGAACGATTTTGGGCCATATCACCGATTGTCTCCAACCATTGGTTTTTACCGTCCCGAGGACCCCAACCAGGAAGTCTACACCTTCCTACGTGGCCTAGACTAACTGTTGTAGATTTCATTGACTGATGCCTCCATGTTTTCGTTTGACCGCCGCCAACTCTTTTCCAGCCTGACTCTATGTCAGCTAACATCGCCCATTGTCGAGGAAGGCGATGACTAGGCATACGTAAGAGTAATATTGAGGTTAATTGTATAGTGTTAGGCAAGGAAGGTAACGCAGTTGATATGGTTGTACAGTTATATAGAATGAGAAGGCTTGGATACGTCATCACATTCCTCGATGGGAGACGCTAGTCAACATAGAATTAGGTTGGTTAAGAGTTTACCAGTGGTCAAACCAAAACCTGAAGTCTCTGACAGTTGGTTTCAGTCTTGTAAGTTGGAATCCTCAGGATGTGAAGAACCAGTGGCTGGAGACTATTGGCCTTATGGCTCAAAATAGTTCTCAGTGATGCAGATGCCTTCACTATTTGTGACCTCTCAGATCGATTAAACCCTTCTGGGTTTTTTGCATGTTACCATTGTTTCTCCTATACATTTCTGATCCGCTTAATTCTTTTCTATCTGTTTTTTCTCTACGTGTGTGCACCTTCCCCGACGGGCAATGTTAGCTGACATAGGATGGATCAGGCTGGAAAAGAGCTAGCGGCGGTCAAACCAAAACATGGCTTAATCAGTCAATGAAATCCACAACAATTAGTTTAAACCAGCCAGCCACATAGGAAGGTGTAGACTTTCTAGTTGAGGTCCACGGGACGCTAAAAGCCAATTAAGGCTGGAGACAATCGGTGATATGGCTCAAAATCGTTCTCAATGGCTGGTGTGGATGCACCCACTCCTTGTGACTTATAATATCCAATGAAACTTTATTGTTCTTCGTTATCACTATTCCCTTTGTCTCATTTCCCTGTCTACTGTCTCTATTATGCATTTCTGCTACTTTCTTCTCTTGCTCTGTGTGCTACATGGAGTGTGGCGACTTGAACTGCTGCACTTTTTTTAAAAAGCTCTGGGTTGAAATTCAGTCAGTAACAGTTTAATTAGGGTAATTGACGAGAATGCCACCAACCACGCATGTGGTCCGGGGTTCGATTCCCGGTCGACGCACTCCTTTACCTCACTAAACCAGATACAAGACTGGTGAAGAGTAAAGGTTGGGCATGAGGCTAGCAACCCCATCCCGTAAAAATCAACACCACTGCTACCGAAACTTCAAGCCTCTAGCCTGAAGCCCTGTGTTTCACTGAGAACGTAAAGGAATTTTTTTTAAATTGACGAGTAATTGTGACTTGATTACTGCCATTCGTACCCACTTATTTATATATCCCAATTTTAATGCCGCCTTTCCTTTTATTACCTCCCATTTGATATAAATCAATATGCAGTCATACTAGGTTCTATGTGGACAATGTGTCTTTTCAAATAGTAAAATTCATTAGTCTGAAGGTATTGCTCTGAAGTGCTGTGATACTTTGTTTCCAATCAGTAAGTCATATGTCTAGTACCTATGACACATCTCTTAAAGTTAAAACATACATTCGGTATGGTTAATACGGTCATCGATACTCAAGCTTCAGCTCTGCTGAAGTTTTAACAGCCTCACGCCCAACTTTTCCTCTTTACCTGGCTTATTACCCTCTAAACGGAATATAGGAGTGAGTCTGTCGGTGGTCGAACCCCGACCATATGTATTGTTGGCGAATTTTCTACCACGGAACCATCTACGCACGATGCGTAGTCATTCGAGGCTAGGTGCAAAACCTTGGTCACAACACGATGAAAAGTGAGCAAATGCCATCGCCTTGAAAGGGGTTATCAGGTGAACATCGCAACATCGTTCAAAATTACTAGTAAGAGGAAGACCTCCATTCTCCCTAAGTTTGCTGAAGCAATCTTTATCAAGCGCCTACAACCCGATTTATGTGTTCAGAAAGAAACAGTTATCACCCTTTCCTTGCCCTAGAAACTGGAGGTTTTCATCCCATCTTTCATTTGATCGTGTAACGCCAAAGATTCCATTGCGTACGATCACTATTACTCAGGATAAAGTGTTTATTATTATATATAAAATTATTGTGTGCATACATTGATTTTTCGTTTAAGAATGAACTCTGTACAAGTATGCTAAAATCGTTTCTGTAGAAATACTTAATAATAACTTTGGGCTGTAAGCAGATGATGAGAAGCCAACGGAATAAATGATGGTGCCACTTTATTCTGCACAAACTGTTGTTCTTGTTTTACTCGAATTCACCTTTAGCCAACAGTACCCTATCAACTCAGGGCAAAGCAAGGTAGTCTCACCATCAGGTACAAATACACAATCAAGATATAGCACAATAAGAAGCTAAATTTGGTGAGATGTAAAAATCAACAGAGAAAACAACTAAAACTACACGAAAAGCATTCACTAAACGGAATTACTAGAAATGTATAAAAAATTGAACAAATATAACCCATAAAAAGAAAATTTTTTTAAAAAATAAGCACCTTGCCTGCACCTCGACCAAACTCATCACCGGGATACAAGCGAATCGATCTGAAAGTAAGTAAATATAAACCAGATTTAAAACACCCTGTGCATTAAGCAACAGTTGAATTTCGCAAGAGACTTAAAAAGAAAACATGTCTAGTGAGTTCCAAGCCGACAGCTGACTAGATAACGCTTGGTACTCAACAAGATAAGTGGGAGGTTAGAGACGTATGTATTTTTCAGCAATTCTTATTTATAGTTGTGGGACAGACACTGAAGATATAAAATGGTTAGTTGTCTTTGTGTTGTCTCCTTTGTTAAGTGGTATAATAAGGTAAGTATTAATGCAGTTAGGTGTAGTGTTTGAAAAGGATGGGAACTCATTCGATGAGGCTTTGAAACTACATCGATTGAAATGGCTAGGGCATCCTCAGTCACAAAGTTCCTCAATAAGCATGCTGTTATGAGGTTAAGGGTGGTTGTGTAGTGACGCGTTTTATTACTCATCATGGCAGTATACTTTCATTGTGTAATTGTATTTCGATTTGTTTATTACTCTACATCTTGCATGTTAACAATTGATACCTTTTGTACTCGCTCGATTTTTGATTTGTTGATTGCTGCAATAATACACTATCGTATTCCTTCGCAAGTGCCTTTTGAATTACGTTGTGGATGTCGAGTAATCGCAACGTTAGGTCACGAATATAAACGCGAAGAAGTGCTAAGGTATACGTGTACTCTAATTCAGTCAAAACATAGCAGCACAACAGTTGGACCAAACCTGGCATCAATCCACAAGACCTGATAAAGACTGTGTGATAGGACAAGAATAATGGAGAGACGTTGAATGGTGTCAAGATGAGCATGGCTACTGGTGGAATAATGGGCGAATACAGGTTATATCACACTATTTTTCCCACTTCGTTCATATTTTACTCCCTTGGCACGCCACATTTTTCCTAAATTTAATCTTTATTTCAGCATTGTTTTCTGGTTTTCATACTTTAAGTGACCAGAGTTCTATTTCTAGACTACCTCTGGCCACATTTCCCTAATATTTCAAAGTTATATTCACATATACTAAGCTCATCTGATCATTACTTCTCCACGTATTAGTATCGTTTGCAAGTATATTTGCGATTCCGGTATTGCAATCCATTCTACAAGTAGGATACTGCAGGAGGAAAACATAATAAAGCGTTTCATCTTGTACGTTAAAATAAAACTAAAGAAATAATTATGCTTATATTATGTAAAACCACGTTTTTATTCTAACGAGATAAGTTCATGAACCTTCCACGTTTCACGAGTACTTACCCGATGGACAAAGGCTTCAGGTACGTCATAGGATTCCTTAGAACCCCTTTAAGGTTCTCCGGTACAGAAAATGCCAGTCGCTGCATGCTTATAATTTGTCAGAAAACCGCGCAATAATTCTAGTTTACACGTTGCGCCTCGCCAGCTTCAAGGTTGACGCAGGTCATATACAGCATAAAAGCACTCGAATCATTAGGTCGCATCTTAGAAGAAGAGAACTCAAAGTTAAATTAGTCGTTTCTAAGAGGAGCAAGAGGAACATCTCATATCAGTACACAGCTGTTGGATACGATGGCAGTCTTTTGCAGAGAGAGGCTTAAAATCACATTGTCAGATCTGGTGAGTTAACCGGTTGAACATAATATCTTAATAATCATGGCGTACTGCAGTGCACCTCATATGGCATTAAAATACACCTAGAGCTAAAATAAATAAATTTCAAGGGAAGTGGGAAAGAGGTACAAGGATGTGAGTGAGTCCAGGATAGCATCATGGAAGTCACAGTAATTAGAATTCCCTTTTCAACAGGCCTATTTTAGTGTAAGTATTATGCCGTAGCCGTTTTGACTGTCAAAAAATTGAAACGAAGGAAATAAAGATAAAAGTGTGGTCACTTAATAAGTCTAACATAGTACTAAGTGCGAGGTATATCTGAATTATTAGACATCATTTTTGATGATGATACTGCCATATTTCCTGGGACCTAACTGTCAGCGAACCATGGAGGAAAACTTTCAATGCATCAGCGTCCAGGGCTTTCACAGCGTAGAACTAGAAGTAGTTGCTGCTACCAAAAGATACTATTTGTAACTCAGAGTACTATGCAGTAGCTAACTCTGCTTCAGAAAATTTAATGTACCCAATAACCGGACCAGTTAAAATCCACGACAGTCATCAGCAGTTAGCTATTAACAATGAAAATTAGTGAATGTGAATACAAAAGTGATTGGGATTCAGAACGAAGGAAATATAAGAGTCACATTTCCCCATACCTTGGGAGTCACATTACTCACTTAAACAACTAGCTCTCATCAATGTATTGAGGTTTACTTGGAAACAACTGGCACAGTAGAAAACTAATCCACAGCCTAGATGAAATGAGTAATTCCTTTGTCACTAGCGTTACGGTGGCATTGCTGTAAAGCCATCCAGATCACCATTTATTTCATGTAGGAACAACTGATATACCTAAGCTGTCAACCATAATTTTTGATAAACAGCTAAATAACGTTTATCATACTGATCAGAAGATATGGTAGTGGTCACAAATGTGAATCGCTCCAGTATGTAGGACAGCAACATGCATTTTTTGACAGCTCGAGATTTAAACATTAGTCTGGACCCTCAAAAAGGAATAATAATGGTTGTACAGATCTAAATAATAAATAAAAAGTGCCTTTGCTCCTACCATCTACTAGCCTGTTCAGCTTCTTGTCAAGATGCTACCTATTGGGCCCTACAGAAATTTGTGAGACACCATACAGGTCAGCTTGTCCTACGGGTTCTAATTGTCCATATCTTTGAATTCACTCCACACATCAAAATATCACTTACCTACCTCACAATAATCTTTTTATTTACGCACTACTATACTCTACTTTATGTTAACTACTTAGGCCATCATTAAAGCTAAAACTTGCTCTTTGTTTATATTTTTTGTCTACCCAAAGTCTGGTTGCTTTGATTAAAAACACAACAACACGAATGTTTGAACAAAGCTATATCTTCATCTAAAACATCATAGTGTCCATGCTTAGACCAATATTGTTAGCATTACACATTGCAAAAATATACTATCATTTCAAGTACTATACAGCTTCCTCTTATTGTATTTCTCTTGTAAATATACTTCCAATAATGTATTATTCATAATTGCAGTTTATACCATGTTGCAGCTGCGCAGAAGTTTCTTCTCTTCTTGAAATAGCGTTCAATCACGTGGCGGCATAGAACTCACCCAGATATACGCTGTTCACTGCTTGACCATAACTATCAGCAGGAAAACGGAACGAAGTTTAAGTTGTCGCTCAACTTTGATGGTGACCTTAGTAAACGGTTTACAATTTAACATTTATAAGAACCTGTTCTGATTGCCTGTACAATAATTGAACGATTTAAACTTTGAAAAAGTATTAATTTATGATTCTTTAGGATTATAAATTATAACACTACTGATAGTGCCTGTAAAAATGCCATGCATTTCTTGCAAACTTACCCGTTTATATGAAATACAAATTATCATTATTATACTGATGAAAGTGAAACTGCTGTTGAAACTCCGCATATCCATTTTGCTATTTACGGAAGGTTGGGAGATGAGAAGAAAATATTTAGGACTTTTCTTTCAAACAGGCATGTGTTCTACTCCCAGGTTTTCACATTCGTAACAGGTGAACCTAACATTATTATAATAATTCCCTTGGGTTCCGAGTAGAACACGGGGCTTCAAGAACTCATCTTCACTTAGTTCTATTTGATGCTGTCCTCTTCAGCTGGCTCCGCGATTGAGAATAATTCCTCATCTCCTCCTCCTCCTCGCACGATTTCTTCCATGTCAACCTCACAGTGACGACCCACTCGTCGCTTCTCATTGGCCTGCACTGAGAGCTAAGTCATTGACGGCCTCCTCAACATATACCGTATCCATCTTCATTTTCTCCCGCAAATCCACTTGATGAGTAACAGGCTCTTGGTTGGTTTGCTGCTAGCCGTTGTTTCTCGTCGCTAATTCCTTCCGGCCAAGAACATAACACGAGTAGGTCTAATCTCGGAAAAATACCCGTCAAAGCGAACCAAATTACTTTTGTTTCCCGGGAACGTCAGTGCTACCAGAAGCTGTTTCGCAACTTTGCGAACACATGCGAGCACGATCATCTTCCAGTAGATTTTTTCAGACATTTTAGAAATATTTTCGAAGTGAGCGAGAAAATCATTTATGATAATAGTTGCATGTGTGTCAGATATACACTCTTTATTCAAATGCACATGGTCAGTCAGTGCTCTACGAATTTCACTTGATCAATTTCATCAAAGGTGAATGCTAATAAGCAGGACGGATGGCCGTACAACAGCCATGAGCGTTATTTATAGTCAAAGCCAGTCGAAAACAAGCTCGAATGCGTTCAAGAAGCCCAACTAACTAGTTTCCTGGATTGCACCATCATATTCGTCATAGAGTGTGGTTGCATAGATGACTAGTGTAATTTACCTAATAAAAGTGAGTTGTTGCACCGACTTGAATACGTCCTCTCAGCTGGGTGAATAGATTGTAATGCTTTCGCTGTCCCTCAAAACAAAATCCTGGGCGTAGTTTTTAATATCTTATAGGATTATCTGAATCATCCATAAGCGATTCAATTGCATCTGCTGAGAACATTTGCTGCGGCTGTTTGTTAATTTTAAGTGGTATTTATCGGTTTCACTAATGTGAAACTTGACTTTTCTTCGTCACACAACTCATTTTTTTATTACAGCCTGATGCCACACTGTATTTTCATTACAAGTATGGAATTTTCAGCATGGATATTGGTAGCCCAAATTCTGCAGGCCAACCATAGATATCGGGTGTGCGTCGGCAAAGGATCGAACCCCGGACCATGTGCATGGTCGGCGAGAGTCCTAACCACTGTGCCACCGACGCACAGGTGTAAATTTGTTCTGCAGTAGTATCAGTTAATCTCTGATTTCTCTGAGTACCAAGCTTCTAGAAACCCCCTGGCGACTTTGGTGTTTCCAGTGCATGAAACACCCACACATTTTCGGTCAAACTGGCGTCCATGGTTGTCTAAATGCATTAGTATGAAAGAATATATGTTATGTCTTCTCACAACTAATTTGTGTTCTTGGACTCTGAGTTGGAGGGGAGACCCACTTAGACCAATGTAGTGCTCATCACAGCTAATGCAATATATTTTCTGAATGGTGTTGATATTGTCCTCCTTTTCTGTTGTGCCTCTAGGCCTATATAACTTCGAATGAAGTCATTATGTCAGTTTGTGTGCTTCCATTATTTAAAATTTCCGCTACATACCTTCACAGTTGTTATTATGATTTAGACTATTTGTCATAAATTGTTACTAATGTGTATGCCACTGATTATTACTCCGTTACTCTCAGAAGCACTTTCAGAAATCTTTTCTTAGACTCTAACAAATGTTTGGTGCCATTGAACATCGAAGAGCGCTTAAACGACATTGGAATTTGGATAATTACTGTGTCAACCACATATCTCGAATTTATGTCAGAAATCAAGAATAAATTCAGGGCCTGTACACCTAAGCCATTTTGTGAGTATCTAGTTTTATTTTCGCAAATGTATTAGTTGGTAATGTCTGGTTATAGCCTCAAGTGCTGTAGGAATATAATGATGCCCTCACGAAACAGGCTTTCCAAACTTACTGTGAGACCCTGGGCGACTGTTTATGTGAAGTCCATAGCAAAAGAAACTTCCAAGTTTCAGATATTCGTCCTACAACTTAAGAGTTTATCTGCTGGGAAACTCTGGCGTAAGCCATGAAAAACAAGCGTATTTTAGCATTAAAAAGCCATAGCGATAACTAAATTTTTAGAAAGATATATCACTGTCGGGAGAGTGACCTGTAACAGCTTGATAATTAATGGCTAAACCCAGATAAAACAGGCGAATTTCAGCAAAATCAGAGGGGCGATAAATAGGTTCAAACAAGCGGCCTGGAGAAATTGAAGCATTAAACTGAAGTGGAATACCCTTGCCATAATGCGATTGGGGGATCCAGAAGCCTCGTCTCAAATTAAATATCGGTTTATAATGTCATACTGGCAAATTAGTTTGCATGAAAAGTGTGTCACTTTTACAGGCACGACCGAGATTATGTAGTTTCATACTGTAAAACGCTGATAAATTTTTTCATTTCGATGATGCGAGGTATTGTCAGAAATTTCAATGAAGCAAGAACAACAGTTTGCGCAGAATCAAGTGGTACTATCATTTATTTTGTTGGCTTCTCATCGTCTGCTCACAGCCCAAAGTCATTATTAAGTATTTCTACAGAAACTATTTTGACATACTTGCACAGAGTTCATTTTTATACAAAAAATCAATGTATGCGTACAGTAGTGACATATAATAACAAACACTTTATCCCGAGCGACATTGATCGTACACAAATTGATCTCTGGTTTTACGCAATCAAATGAAACGGAGGATGAAAAGCCC